CATTTTGGGCATTTCAGCAAATGGCAAGTGGTTACACATTGACAACTTAAAAAACCAACAAAATCAATATCTATTTGTTTTTTTGGGTGAATCAGTCCCTACCCATTTTATTAAGAAACTACAACCCTTGGCAAGGGGACACAAGCAACATTTTATTAATGAAAGGTGTTACAAAATCTAGGGGATGAACACACGACACTGTTGCTTCATTCATAGAAACTCTTAGTTTGGCCAGAGAGTCCACAACTGACAAAATCAATATCGAGAATACGAAGGAGCGAGGTAAATATTGGTATTTTTGAAAACCGATTTCATGTGGGTTTTGCTAGCAGTTGTACAAACATCGAGAAGCCTCCATGTGATCTGGATGCTTGAATGATGCACAACCATCATCTCAATATTCTGGGGTTGCACGAGAAGGACATGAACGGTTAAGATTTTTTTTAAATTATTTTCTTATTTATTTCTTTTAATTTTGATGAACCGAAAGTTTTAGGCATCCACAACCCTCAATTAGGTACACAACAATTTATAAAAAATAAATTGATCAAAATTTCTCTAAATGTGATATAGGCACATTCAAAAATTTCATGTCAATTCAATTAGTAAAAATAATTAAATTAAAATAGTATAGTAAATCATGGCCATCCATTTCTTTGCTTTCTAACCTGTACCGTTGAAAGGTGCTTTTACACCCTTCCAACAATTACATGATGAGTGTAGTATACTATCCTCATTGAGAATGATGGTTTCTTTGAATTTGCTTTTGTGTTGACAAAGGAGAAAAATTGGAAAAGGCTCATGTGACTTTCCAACACTTGTGCCTGAGGGTTTGTAAAATGGAAAAGGTCTATACTTGTATGTATACAACAAGAATATAAACCGTCCATTTTAATTAACAATATAAATTCCACTTCCACACTTTCGTATTAAGTACGTACGAAAATCTACATCATTGGTCTAGTAAAGGTGAGGAACTTAAAATTTTCCTTAACCCATCCCAAGCCAAGATAAAAGTGGTGGGTTGAATTAACTAAACAGCCAACATAAAACTTTGTTGCATCTTATCGTACATCCTAAACCTATTGGGAGGAACAAAACTCATATAGATGACCCTAAAATAATTGGGTTACCCCAATTATTTTAGGGTCATCGGCTTAGATGATGATAATGATGAAATCTAGATCATCCAACTATATACTTCCCTACTTCTACAAGTAAGATTGTCGCCATGAAAACAATACAGAAAATCCAGGACTATCTCACTTAATCAATTAAAACTTAACTTTGCAAAGTGTACTTCAATATTTCAATTTTTTTTTTAAGAAATTATCAAAAAAGTACTTTAATTTTAGCCTAATTAGAAAAAAAAAAACCCTCGACTTTCATAAACCTCGTCCACGCCATTTTTTTTCAATTTTAATAATTTTTTACCAAAATAACCTTTACAGTAGTCGTATTACTATAATAACTACTGCTTTATGACACTTTAAATACCGTAATGACTAGATTAAGTATTACGGTACTTTGAAAACTATATTGCTCTGATGCGGCAAATGAGAGAGAAAGAGACCAATTGAGCGGTCTTTAAAGTACCTATTAGTCTAGAGGTAAACAATGTCTTTTGGGAAAGCTTACTGTCATCCTTGATTAAGAATTTAAGATTTGTTAGAGAATTAGTTCCGATACCCTTGACACACAAACGATGGACGCCTTGGCCTAAAACGTTTGCAAACTGATACAGTGGAAAGGTCACTTTTCAGAATGTGAAAAAGATTATGAGGTCTAATGACCAAGTTGTTCATTTAATCCTACTAAACTCTAGATACAGCAAATCGTTCGTTTGGTCCTACATGTCAAACACCTAGTTACAATGATTTTCTCAAACTCCAGGACTAAAATATTCGTCCTTTTTTTTGTTTTCAGGCCCATACTAAATCTTATTTAATTAACATTAGAATTGCAGAATGTGAGAATAAAAGCAATCTCTTTTTTAAAAATTGATTAAAAACGCATCGACCAATGTTTTGAGTCACATAAATCCCTCTAATTAGTATTTGTGAGCATGTGTTTCATGGTGGTGAATACAATGGGGATACTCATCGATAAAGGATCACACATGTATTTGCCTGATAAATTAAAGGAATTTTACACTATGAGACTGTTTTATCTTTCATATAAAGAGGTTACAATTACTTATAGCCATCATATGTGAAATTGGATGATTTGAGGTGTATCACAAGTTCGATAAAATTTTTTTGAAACCGAGTCTAATCAAGCCCACAACCACCTTATTGAAATATAAAAGACGAGTGAATGTGGCTTCCTTGTGCTAAAAGTCAATGGCATCATTTTATAGTTTTCTTTAACTAAAAATTAAAGATAAAAAGCCAAGTTTAAGGATGAGAGAGAAAAGGGATCAAAATTGCAATGCAGCCATTCGGAATTCTCACCACTCATTCGATGTGTTAAACAACAAGAGGGAGTACAGAAATTACATATTTGGTGGCATCCACTCCGCCATCACCTTCTTATCAATTAAAATGACAGTGATAACCTCACGGTCGTGTCGCCATTACGATGATCAGATTGTACATATTCTTTTAATAGATATTGGTTATCTTCAATTTTTTTGGTCAGCAGCTGAATTTTGGTTACCATGACTGAGATAATACTTAATTGAGAATCTAAACAAATTAGGCCACTATAGGATTTTGGTAAGCTATTGGAGTTCAAATCTTGCATGTCTTCTAACGATGGCAGCTGTTTAATACGTTCAGTTGCAGTCGAACGTTGTACATTAACCTGATGAGTAGCCCTAAACAAGTAATGGCTAACAAACTTCTGGTCTTGCATCATACATCTCTCTCTCTCTCTCTCTCTCTCTCTCTCTCTTGTCTGTTTTGGTTACATGAGGGAACCTGATAAGTAGCCCCAAACAAGTAATGCCTCGCAAACTTCTGGTCTTTCATCATCTAGGATACATCTCTCTCTCTCTCTCTAAGATACATCTCTCTCTCATCATCTAAGATACATCTCTCTCTCTCTCAGGTTAAAAGCATCAATATGTGGTTAAATAAACAGCAGCTTATTGGCACGTCTTCCAACCAGCTCATGAAGCTGGATTATTTCATTTCTGTTCCCCTTTCATCTGGTACTTCAATGCTAGTCATCTGCCCACCTGACCCCATGGTTTGCTCCAAGATAATAAGCGCCAAGTGGTCCTCGGCCTCCGAACTGATAGAGCTCTGGGGACACTTTCTTGTCATCCATCTCTCGAAGAATAGGACTCAGTATGCTCCATGCAGCTTCCAGTTCATCGCCACGTAGAAATAGATGGTTGTCTCCATCTATGACGTCCAATAGAAGATGCTCATATGAATCAGGAATTTCAACATTGTATCTGGAGAGAGAGAGAGAGAGAGAGATTGAGATTAATCACAAAATAATTGAAAAAGACACAGTGCAAACTGCAGATAGGATGAAATGAATAAAAGAAACTGAAATTAATCACAAAAAATTGGAAATATGAATTACAAAAACCAAATATATGGTGAGAATCAAAGAGAAGAAAATTGATCAGAAAATCACTGAAAAGATAAGACTCAAAAGTCCAGATGGTATGATGTCTAGGCTGAAGTTTAAATTTTGGGCCAAGGGCAATAATTTTGACATAGATATTAAATTTTCTCCAAAAAAAAACAAAAGAAATCACAAAAATAATGTCAAGCAAAAATGCATAGACGTTGCCAAAAGCTTTTTCTAATTAGCAGGAATTTGAAGCAATCATAATACCAAGTTTTGGCAAAACTAAGGCTGAAATGTTCAGTTCCAGCCAAAATTTAGTTGAAATTCACAAAAATATGTTGAACCATTGTCCCAATAGAGAAATAACATACTTGTCTCTGTAAAGTAAATTCAGTTCTGAAGTGTCCAGCTGCAGCCCCAACCCTGGAACTTTATTGTTAATTTTGACTAGAATGGCTTCATCAGGCTGATCACGCAGAATGAGCTCATTAGTAGCAAGATCAATGTTATGCCCAATGCGGTCACGATACAAATTTCCCGGCACATGGTGAAATTGGATGCGAATCTCTACTCTGTGCAGCCAAAGCAGAGCATAAAAGCATCAAGAAGTTGTATAAGGACCATATTTATAACTCGATCTGAGAGCTGCAAATAAAAATTCACAGTTCACCCTCCCCCACAAATAGACCAAAAATAAATAACAAAATAAAAATAATGCAAGATAAGCATGCACAAGGAGATGATGGGGAGTTCTCTGGTCTTTTATTTCCTTTCTTGTTCTTATTGGAATCGAAAAATGGCCAAACTGCCTTGGCATGCGTACAGAGTCATACAAAAAGAAAAACTGAGGTTATTAGAAATATAGAAAGGATTAGAATATTTTTAAATATTAGAATTATTTATCACGGTCCACCATGGATTTCTTAGTATTCAAATACCATCTATTATAGGAGATGATAAACTATTCAAGACAGTGTCCGTGTGCATGCGAAAGCATGTGTTTGTTGTGTGTGAGAGAGAGAGAGAGATAAAAAATGTCAATCTCAGTTGAAAATTAAAATCTCTTCTCTTCGATATGAGTAACCTTCTGAGAGTGCACAACGAAAAGCAAGAATTTACAGCGAAACCCGAAAAAGCTAATCACAAATGAAGATGAATGGACTCCAATCAAACCTATGCTTGATAAGCCCCATGCCAGCCTTGATCAGGAAAGGTACACCATCCCAACGTGCATTGTCAATGTATAAAGCAGCTGCAAAGAATGTTGGCGTGAGGCTATTCAAATAAATGTCAGTTTTATCCGTGGCACTAGCTTTGTACTGGCCAAGAACAACATCATCAAGCCCCAATTTTCTGATGGACCTGAGAACCTTAACCTGCAACCACCATCTTGAGAGTAACAATCCAATTAAGCACCTAAAAAATCTAGACTCATGCAATATGGGAATGTTTATCCATATGCAAAAAGTATGCAAAAGATTTTCTAATTTCTCCTTCAACCTTTTCATTGCGTATATCTTCTCCATCTAGGCTAACAGGCGGCTCCATGGCAAACAAGGCAATCAACTGGAGAATATGACTATGGACAATGTCGCGGATGATCCCATAACCATCAAAATACCTGTCAAATATAAAAGCCAAAAGGAGAGATGTCAATGAAGTTGAGTACTGGGCATGGGCATTATTAGGATTCGCATAGACTGGTAAAATTGATTGCTTCAGTCAACTGACAGAGATGGAACATATCACCAAATAATGAATAAAAATACCTAATTAACATAATAGGTCAAGAAATATGGCCATCAGTGAATTTCACAAGGTGAAATTCAGATGCAAATAATGGCGAAGGAAATAGTAGTACACCATTAAATATAATCGACCAAGTGATGTAAACATCACAGTGAAATTAGTTTCATTTTCATTTAGTTAGGATATTTTCAACCAGAGCTTTAAAAACACTTATCCATACCGGAATCACTCGACCCGGATCGGGAATCAAAGGGTGCTGACCTGGTTCCCAGTTGGAACAGGGAATTGGGCCGGTTACCACAGAATCATCCGGTTACTTGAGGAACAGGCTGGTTCGAGGAACCAGGCAGATCACACCGTTCCCATGATTTTTATTTTTAATTTTTTCTCTTTTTTATTTTTTCAAATTATTTTATTGATCGATTCTCACCAGGAGAATTATACAGATTGCCAATCCAAATCAGTGATTCGCCGATCTGGACTGGCATACTGAACGACCGGTTCACCTGGCCAATTCGGGTATTGAAACATTATTTCAATGATTCTACAATCCATGAGAGTAGTTATGTGACTTCTTTACACAGTTTTGTCTGATTGTGCATAAAAATTTTCAAGCTTCAACTGAATTCAGGCAAAACAATCATCTATAAAGTTTCTAGAGCTAACAGAGAAACACACCAAAGGGAGTTGTAACAGGAACCTAAGGTTTATGCACCATGAAAAGTATTGTTGTGGAAGGTATTTAGAAAGCTCTTTCAGGTCACAATTCTTATCTGGATGAACAGAAACAAATATTTAGTGCATATGTGACTCAAGATAAGGCAAAGAACCAACAAATTCATGACAGTTTTTTTTGTATTGTCAATAAAGATCAGAATAATATGATCATATCAGTTCATCTCTTATAATTGTGCTGGTAAATTGCGAAAGAAGAATATTTCCATCTTGCACACTAACTTCAAAAGCAGCTGACCTTCTACTTCACCTGCAATGAACTTCTCAATACATGCTGAGTGCAATATTTAAATGAAAATTTCATTGATATTCAAAGGAATATTAGCTGAATCACTTACCTATCCAAATTCAATTTGAGCAACTTGACTCAAGTGAGCTAAGATTTCAAATATAGCTCATTTTTACTCAGATTTTAGAGATGTGCATGACTTGTTGGGCAGCTCAAGCAAATTTTCCAACATCTAGGCCAAGAGGTTCAGAATCAGGCAAGTTTTTTTATTTCAGCGACACTTGACAAAATATAGAATGACCATATGGTCCCTAGCCCAGATGTATGTGATGATGGTTTCCAAATCAGCCTGAACCTTGGCTATACCATTGATAGGATAGAAAATAGGCATATTTCAAAGATCAGGTAATTGGTGTTCAAAAATCAAGAGCTTCAACAGATTCACTGCATGAGCTACAGTATAATGAATAGTGTCCCACGGTGAGCTTGACAAATTGGACCAAAGGGCATCCAAATAATTCCAAACTTGGTGGAGGGTTCTTAAATAACACTTTGAGAAGATTCTCCAAAGCTCATTGAATTTGAAGATGTCGACGGGGTGATTCAAGTTCACCACAAGAGATTCAAGTTCACCACAAGAGTTACAGTACCACAAATAGTGCCCAGCAATCAACTCGACAAAATGGACCAAAATGAAGTTCAAATGAATCCAAATTTGGTGTAACACCTAGAACTGATATTTTAAAGTCTTTCTCAATATATACGTGAAGATTGAATATGTTGACGGGGGCAATGTTGAGTTCACCGTAGAGCTAGTAAAGGCATATGTGCCACTCGCATTGAACCCATATTTTGAATTTAAGTACAATCCAAATAGGCTCTAGTCATGAGTGAAGCTTTTGAATGATGAAAAAGAATGTTGGGTAAGATTCAAGTGAGTTGGGTTGTGTTTTAGTGGAGTTTTACAAGTTGACCGCGAGCCATGGGTATGTTACATGGAGCATCACTATGAACTTGCATGGTGAGTTCATTTGTTGTCCAAATGAGACGTAGCTTTATATAATCACTTCTTTAGGCGTTGTAAGGGTAGAGAACAAGTGCGAAGGAATTGGATAAGGATTTACTGAAATTTGCAAGCTCACCGTGATGCCTTGATGGTCCAGGTCGCCACTCGTGGTGAGGCTGCTGATATGAATGTTTAGGGTTCTAAAATGATGACAATGGGTTCTAGAAGCTTCAAGGGACAAGGAATCTTTCTAATAATGGCTGAAAATAGGAAACTTTCCTATTTCTGAGTTTTAACTTGGGATTTTAAGGAATATCGAAAGATCTTGTCAGGAATGGTTCCCAAAAGTTACGGGAATGATGTCAAAGAGATTCCCCTGAGAACTATCTATTGAAAAAAAAAAAAGTAAGCCCGATCAGGATTATAATGAAAATCAGGGTGTCTTTATAGTACGTGGTTATTTTTGGAGTAAGATTAGATTTCTAAAATCTTGAATTATAAGGTAGGTTTTGAATGAAATTATAAAATAAAAAAAAGGAGGTGCTGATCTCGATGGATTACCAATCTAGTTCATTATCAAAACTAGGAACATGTTATATGGAGCAAATTGGTGATCAAATTGGTGGGATTTCGAGAGTTCACTTGCCTTCCATGGTGAACTTCTTATAAAGGACAATAGGACATTTTGGTAGGAGATATTATGCCCAATAGCAGGTAACTTCTATGAAGTGATTCTTGAATGTTTGTAGAAGAAATACTCCAAGAAAACAGTAGATTTGAACAAGGAACCTATCCAAAATTAAAGGTTTCTGGAACACCCACTCTCACTCATTAAGTCATTCTATAAGGGTGTCTTGAAACACACAAAAGGGCCTTATTGAGGAGAAGGAAGAGAGAGTTCTAGCGAATTTGAGGTATAACTTAGAGGATAGTTGCTTCAACTTAATCAAGCTTCAACAGAATAAGATTGTGATACTTCTTTGAGAGATTGATAGTGTAAATGAGTAATTTCAGAAGAAAGCCTAAGGTAGTTTCTAGAAAGAGAAAATAGAATCTTACACCCTTCGATTTTCAGCAATGTATATGGATTCCATACAACTCCAATGTTTATGTTTGTGATATTTTCTTCTTTCTTTTAATTCTTGAGTATCTTTGTAACCACAGATCAAAGGTGATCCCTTCTTAGTATAGAGGTTGGACGTAAATGAAACAAGTTGCATACGAGTGCTTGGAATTCTTTGCGAATCCATATTTTAAATGAAAATATTTTGATTCTTATAGACTCTTGAGAGAGTTTGTTTGCTATTTTGTGCGCTTGTCTCAGTCTATGTATTTGGAGTCGGATCCATTTTCAAATTTTCCTTAGTACACGTTTTAACGAAACAAAAAGGTGATCCCAGTTATTGAAAAACTCCTTGGTTTGACTCCCTTAAGTCAAACATGGATTTATACTTTTCATACTACTTCATTCAGTTTAGTAATTCCAGGTACCTCAGATGTTGAGCTTTGGTTTCTTTAGATTTTGCAGAGAACAGATCTCTTGTATCAACTGAACAGAAGATCAGTGGATAGCACATAGGAAACAAGTGAACAGTCAGGCCCCTAAGAAATAAGATGAGGATCTAAAAGGCAGAAGCTTAATTTTGTTCATCTCTTTTAGCTCCTATCTTAGAAGGCAAATCTCAGCGCTATTCGGCTTCCTTTTTAGTTTCATATATATCATTCTATTCATTGCAGAGGTATATGCCAATCAAGAAAAGACGATAAAGGAGAATAATTTTGATGAAAAATGATAGCAATCAAACCAGAATTGTGTTCATCACTTTTAGAATCATTTAATAAAGGAAAAGGTGTACCATGTATTTTAAAACAAATGAAAGACAATGTCACAAACCTCCCACTTTTCTCGATACCCCAGTCCTCAGACAGAATGACCTGTACAATTTACCAAGAAGTGACAGCTTTAGCAATTTATAGACAGAAGTCACAACAGCACAAGATGGACCTTGACATGCCTGGGTGTATTAGGAGACATACTTGCACATTACGTATATAAGTTCGACTCCATAGTGGCTCAAAAACAAGATTAGAAAACCTCAAAACTGTGAGGTTTTCAATAAGGTCTCTCCCCAAAAGATGATCTATCCTGAATCACAAAATTCTGCACGTTTAATAGCTATAAAAACCCTGGTTCTTACCTTGAGAGGAAATATATATAAAAAGAAAAATAAAATATGTACTACCTGGATACTATTAAAAGTGACAAACATACTAATGCACTTAATAAATAGTTGAATGACTGCAACTTGTGCATAATGATAAATATACCTGTAAATTTGTTCCTCTTTGTATTTAGAAAGAAGGGTGTGTGTCAGATTATAAGAAGACTGTGCATCAAATCCAAAAGGCTTCTCAATTATTACTCGGTTCCAACCATGCTTGCTTTGAGCAGAGTCAGCAAGAGACAATGCTACATCAAGAAGTGCTTCTTGAGGCACAGACAGGTAAAATATACGATTTGCTTCAGAGCCATCCTGGAGTAAATTAACATCAGGGAGTATCTAAAATTGAAAAAAGGTTTTCAGATAACTAACAAGAAACTAATAAATAATATAAATAAAGGAAGAACAGCAAAGATCCTGATAAACTGAAACATTACAAGCCATGATTTGATGTCTACAAGCAGGTCAACCTATTTGACTATCATAACTAATTACCTCAGTGTGTTTCATTCTGGAGTTTAAGTTAGCCATCCCCACTTTATTATCATAACCTCCATTTAGGTAGTATGTGCTTTTGAGGAAAGCATCCATCTTGTCTCCACAGTTTGCTCTGTACATTACAGAAAGAGATATTGCATTTACACTATGGTCATATTTACTCGTTCTCTACAAGTCTTCCTGGTCTAGATGTAGAATCTTGGAGATTATTAATCGAAAGGTGTTCAAAAAATTACAAAGGGACATACTCAACATGTTTATTGGCTCGATTCTTAAATTACATACTTGGAATAAGTACTATCAAGAGGGAAAAGATGGGTCACCATACTGCTGCGCATGCAGCACATCGTTATTGTGCTGCATTTGACCCATTCTTTCTTAAACGAGAGTTGAGTGGAGAATCAGTACATCTCAACAACCTATAAATGAAATGAAAGTTTGAGATGTAATGCTCACTGTTCTTGTTCTGCATTGCATCAAAGTATATCTTTTACAGGGTAAACAATGCACGCATAAAATTATTTATGCTTTGTTTTATTACACATTTATAGTTTTGAATTGAAAAAAGATAACCACTTGTAATTTTATTATTTAGTTACACACAGTGATTTAGACAGAAATCAGGGGCTCTTGGCTAGAACGAGAGAGATAAAAATACCAAATTGTTCCCTTTCCTTTATCTTTTTTCCAAGAAAAAACAAATTACCAAAACAACAAGGGTTGATCCAATTTTTGAAGCTATGGATCCATGGGATGTAGCAGGTATTGACCTATTGGAAGTTTGACGTTACTGATGAAGTATTAAAGCCAGAGACTCCCAAAAGTGTCACATGGACACCAACATGAGTATCGGTGTCCAATATGCTGAAGGTGTCTAGTATTTGGCCTAAAAAGTCGACACAATGAGAAATATCCGTATTGCTCTAGAGTACAATATAGCTCTTCAATGTATATATAAATGGTTTTGTCCACCTTCAAACAGTCCATCAGATTCCTCCCGAGGTCTGGCAGCAGGATTCGATCTTGGTGCGACCTTTGGTTGGGCCACTCTCCTTTCAGGGATTGCTTTCCTTCTTTGTATTCGCTCACTACTAACCCGCTTGCCTGGATCTCGGAAGAGCTCCAGCTGACAGGTGACAGAAGAGTAATGCACCCCTCTTTCAGGCAGTCTCTTTCTGATGCTGAAATACTGGAGTTTATTTCCCTCTCGACCTTGCTCGATGATTACTTTTCCCACTCTCAGGGTCGGACCGGATCATATGGACGTCACAGCCATCTGGCTCCTTCTCGGTGGCCTCTTTCTGCAGGATTTTACTACCGTCTAACCCCTCTTCCCCCTCGGTAACGTTGAAGGTATGGTCATCAATAGCACCACCAAAAGTGCAAGCTTTTAACTGGATCACTTGCAGAGGAAAAGCGCTAATGGTTGACCAACTCAAGCGAAGGGGCTTCGCTTTACCGAATCGTTGTGTTATCTGTTTTAAAGAAGAAGAGACCCACTCCCACCTGCTTATCCACTGCGATATTGCTCTTTACCAGTGGACCAAACTCCTCGACCTTTTCGGCCTGACCTGGGTCACACTGGCCTCCATCCCCGGACTGTTTTAACTTAGCAGACAGTCTTCCGTGACCCAAATCTGGGAGGCTTCTATGGAAGGCAGCAATAGAGGCCACGATTTGGACTCTATGGAAAGAAAGGAACTCAAGAATCTTTAGAGGGGTCCATTGAGATAATCCAGCCTTGTTCCATAAAATCCACACTCTCACGACTTTTTGGGCCACCAATCATAAGGCCATAAAGCACCTTCCTTCTTCTATCTTCCTTGCCAACTGGCAACAATTACTTATGCTTCAGAACACTTGACCCCCACGCCATGGGGACTCATCCCCCCCCCTCCGCCAGGTGCAATTAAGTTCAACTTTGATGGCTGCTCGCTCAAAAATCCTGGCCCCTCTGGGGTAGGGGGGGGTGTTCAAAGACTACCAAGGAAACACCTTGGTACAATTCTCAAGTCACATAGATCATGCCAATTCACAACTGGCAGAATCTCTTGCCTTGCTCATGGGCAGCAAACTCTTTGATCCTGAGTGAGGTCAACCACTTCTGGCGGAAGGGGATGCACGCAATATAGTCTCTTGGGCAGCAGGTCATGTATCCCCCCCATAGTACCTCTCTACGATTTTTGACGAGATTTCTCACCTCTGCAGGGATATTCCCGTCTCATGGACGCATATCTGGCGGGAATCAAACGCACTAGCGGCCGTCTAGCTAAGGAGGGAGCCAACATGCAAGTCCGGCTACTACCTAAGTCTGGAAGAATTTCCTAATCGTTTTTCCTCATGTCTCTTTGGTCTTACTTTTTAATGTAATACCTAGCTTGCCACTTTCAGTCCAAAGCCCTTATAAAACGACTCCAATCCGTCGATGTTAAGCCTGTGGTTAGTTTCTTTCTGAAGTACTCTTTGTACTACATGTATTCACAGAGGTTTACTATTTCCCCTCCGAGAGGACATACCCGAGTGTCCTCTCTTATCACGATTTGTACTTCATTCCTTTTAATACAATGTTAACTTCATCCAAAAAAAATGTATATATAATAAAGTGACATTAAAAAAAAATTGCGTATATAATAAACTACTCATATTTACTACACAAGTGCGCTTGCTCCAGTGGCAGCACATACAAACTTTACAAAAAGGAGTCTTGGTTTCAAACCCCAGCCTTGTGCTTTGTATTGTTCTTTAATGCACCCCGAGTGTAGAAATGTCAACAAGTGTCGAAGTGCTAGCACATGCAAACATGAGACACCATCCCAAGGCTGGGGGTACTGGAGTAACAGTGACTGACAATGCAGATGCATTGAGCTTATGAGACTACAAGATCATCTGCGGAATTGATAGAAAGGCCTTGTGAGTTGGACACAGGTGGCAGTTCCAGTATAACATGATATAAGGTGTTCAGCCAGGATGTGTTTTTATTTGCATTCTTCTCGTGATTGCTGGAGATACTGAAAGGGGTTCACAACTTTATCAGCCATATCAAAAGTTTCTACGATGATGTCTGGTTGTCAAGGTTACATGCTATACTCATCACTTAGAAAACTTTAAAATTTCAAGTTGGGTCCAAGGATTCATCTGCAATCCCTCATACAAGCGAGTTTTTCAAGAGGTTGTCATGTTTAAGACGGCGGCACAGTAGCGCATGAAGCAACAACTGAGATAGACTACAAAGAATGGTGCATAACATGGACTCCCTAAATTCCTAAAACCATGTGGAATGAAATATTACTTTTTCTTTTAGTTACTGTATATTACAAAAATGATGGGCTCTGGGCCCCACAGGAAAGACAGATAATAATGGTTGTAACATACAAATCTTTTGATAATGATTATGGGAGCATAAATGATACTTCAATTTCATTGAGGTCTTAAATGAGGGGAGAATAAGTTTCTGCTTTCCAGTTCATGGTTGTGGGCTTGCGCCAGAGCAGATTCCTTGATTAGCTCCCCAGACAAAGCATTTCCTAACAGAGATCGGATAAGAAGAGGCATCAATTCATGCAACATATGAATATATAATTCGCCATCCCCTTTGAAGCAAGAAATGATGTTCATGCAGTTTGTGCTGATCTACTTTAAACATGTTGACATTACATGATTAGTTCCTAACATGACTGAACAACTTTCTGATCCTTATTACTATCATGTTTTCAGAATCAAGGAAAACTTGGTTCTTAACTCCATAAGAAATAACTTCAAAGATTAGGCAAATTTAGAAATAAGACTTCAAGTTACCGTACATGCAGTCAGTTATGTATCTCAATAGAATCTCCAAGAGTTGAAAAGAACATCAACTTCTTGAATTTAAAAACATTAGTACCATTGCAGTCTCGCATACATATTAAATGAACCTTACTGGTGGTCAACTCGACAGGTCAATGTCCCTGCAATCATGGATCTCAGGTCTTCATCAGTCAATTGCTTTCTCGAATAGCCAAATATGGAAACATTCTGCCGTAATGGAAAAAAGGATTTAATTATTCAGTTGATGCAAACTAGGATATGATTATGTGGATAATCCAGCCAAAAAAAAAAGATCATGCAGAATAATCCAAAAATAAGCTCAATAATATGTACTTAAGAAAAAACGTAAATTGAGCGATATGTAAATATTGTAGTCCAAAGAATAGTTCAGGTTCATAGCCTCTAATTTAGACCGCATGAAAGCGGCCGCCTCTGGTAGATGGAATACTTATGCCATATGAATATTTGAAGAAGGATAAATGTAAATACCATTTCAACATTTTCACAGATGAATATTTAAAGAACACTAAATGATGAAGTGGATTTGTCATGAAGACCAAAAAGATGAAAGCAACAATTCACGACATTGTTAGATGCTTGTCATATTTACTCACAACAGTATGAAACTTGAACTGTTGCTATGAACTATTGTGCTTCTAAAAATGTTAGATATTACCTTTGGCACTTAAATCCTCATACAACCTGATCATTCACCTTTTAAGCTCCATTAACGACCGCTTCTCTCTCACATAGCAAAAACAGTTAGGATCAACATAAACATAACATGTCAAAGAAGGCCAATATATATCTGAAAATTTGGTGTATCATGAATAAAATAATCATTAATTAACTCTGGGAAAATGGTACATCCATACATACTAAGAGAGGTTATTGTTGCTAAAGAGCATGTATATCAAGAGATTCTCTTTTGTCAATAATATCCAGATAAGCATGATTAGTTTTTAAACACTGGAAGCTTCAATGCTTGTGGAATGTGTTTTTCTTCATGTGTTCACTTCAATCTGGTAATTTCCTGGAACCATTGACCTTAAGGATACTGGAATAACTGAAGGAGTACCTTAACCTGTATTTTAGGGTTACTCAACAATGTGAAACTTCATAAATTCCAAAAGGAGCTATATTGAACTTAAATCACAACATGAATACCTCAGAGTAAGAGCATCCACATAGAGAAAATTATAGCTCCGTGATCCCAATCGCAAGGCACTTTTTTTCCTGATAGAGAACTGAATTGTTTCCTGGGGAAAGGTATACATCAACATATATACCTTTCTACACACAAATGCAAATATGAGAGAGGGAGAGATTGGTTACAAGTTATTAAGCACTCTGCTTGTACACCAGTTTTTTATAATTCTGTCAGATGACCTCTTTTGGCTCACAAATCCATGTTTCAAGGGTGTAATCAGAATAGGAATCCCATGATGGGCATTACAAGTTATTAAAAGCACTGTGATTCTATTCTAGCTTTTTACAATTTATATATATGACTTCTTTTAGCTCACAAATCCATGTTCAAAGGTGTAATCACAATAGGATATCCCATTGTCCAATCAGGGAAGACAAGGATTACATGTGTTCTTTCTATATATTATATCAGTAATAGGTGGGTTATATGTGATCACAGTCAATATCACTCGCCGGATCAATTTGCCAATGTCAAATCAAGTAGATTACGGTACCTTTGCCAAAACATTGCGCATTGTGAAACTCTTTGCTTTGCTCTATTCAGGTGGCCTTGAGCAGAGGGCATTAGCATTGTTCCGCTGAATTTGCCAAACTAAGCTCCTCCTCCATGCCTAAATCGTTGGTCTTGTTGTAGAAACAGAGAGGTACTGCAATAATCCATCTCAAATTTCTCTCCTTTTGCATTCCAAGTTTCAGTCTTTTGTCAATAAATTCTTTCATATTACAAATAGCACTCCTGTCTATTGTAATTGTCATCTAACAAACACCAGAGTCACTAAGAGTTTCATACTGGCTGCCTAGCATTTGGCAAATATGGGGTTTCCAAGAGATGTTAAAAAAAAAAACTATAGAAAATTATGTGCATGTTCATCGTAATTTGAAGGGATCAGATGACATCACATGTTCCACGAAAGCAGTCACACAATAACAAAGAACATTTGGTTCCTATCCTATGATGAAACCAGGAAGAATTGAAAAACATAATCAAGCTGTGTTTGGACCAGCTGCCACCAATGTAGTTTTGTTTCATACACTCGTTCTATTTTCATAGTCAAGCCTTTCTTTCTAGCATACAAAATTATGGGACCAAAGCATCTGATGGACACATAACCAAACCAATAAGTGGACAAACATGTAACCAAGCTTAAGATGACAATGGATCAAGAAATCGACATGTTCTAAGATTATAAAAGTGATACAATTCTAACTTGCAAGAATTTTTGTAAGAAGCCGATAAAAAAGATGCTAGTAAACTTACCTCAGGAAGAAAGCCACTATAGTACAGAGCAAACAATGCTGGGAAAACCTTGTTTCTAGCAAGCTCTCCTGTCGCCCCAATAACTGCAATAGAAAGGGAAGGTGTGCCATGTCTATGATAACTGTGATATTCATTTTCTGGCAAAGATGATGGAACTCCTCCAATAGAATCGAAGGAACCAGGAACAGAAGAAGGATCACTAAGGACAGAACGGTCGGTAATTTGCGACGTCTCAATAGATACTTGTTCATTTGAATCTACATATATTGAAAGTGAGATAGAACATGAGAAATGCAAATTAACATGTTTCTTTTATCAGTAAATTAACATATTTTGACCAAGCAATTTCTATTCATCCAAATGTTTAGGCAGTGATAGCCAACAGGAGTGACATGATTAGCCATGCTGTCTTTTTGCTATTCCCACACAAATTCTGGGCAGGAACAGCAAAACATATATCTGAATTGCAATTCCCATGCGCATATCGTAAAAATGTGAGTTTCAACTGTAATTCACTAAAGTATGGATGAATTAAGAACAAAATATGTTTCCTTACAGTCAATATCACATCTATACCATATGAAGCTCATAATTTTCAGCATCCATAAAAATGGAATTTCGCTATCACCAATGCAAAAAACTGTTACATTAGATGCATGATTTGTATGAAGAGGAAAAGGAGTTACACCAAACAAGTTACTAACCATTCAACACAGCTCGTGAAGTATGAACTTCCTCGGGTTCTTGTTCTTCACATGACAATGACAATACCACCTTATGCAATAAGTCTTCTTTTTGTTGAATATCTGAGCCAGATGGCATCATCCTTTGGCCATGTTTCCTAATGGATGTCTGAAGTTTGAACTTATCATGAATCCACGCTTTGAATCCAAAAATGCTACTGCATAAATTGAATGCATCTCTACAGGGAAGAAAAGACGTGCGTAATGTTGAATGCCTGTGTTTAAATACAACCTGACACATGCCACAGTCGACATAATCAAATTAGATGACTCTTTATTTCTTTATTTCTCTATTTCTGAAATAGACAGTGCTTCGATTTGAAAACAATGGCCGTTGAATTTTGCAGATTAGGAACTTGCAAATAGTCTATACAAAAGCTGCCTCATATTCAGATAATCGGACATGCATTGCTAATTCATTGAACAATTCTACTTATCAGGAAAAAAAATATGATCATGGAACAACCCCAAATGTAACAACAATTAATAACCAAACAAACCAACATTGACAGTAAGGTAACAATTTGTAATCCCTAAAATGGTGTTCTAAATCACAGAACTTTGATGATGAGAGTTTTAAATCAACCTCAATGTAGACAAGTAAAGTTCTTTAATTTCCAATAGCAACAACAACAACAACAATAATAATAAAGCATCAATAACACAACAATAAAAACAGCATCAAGATCAGAGAATATTTAATGGTAGGGGCCCATATCCCCTATGATGAGGTCTCTGACTCCATTCTCACCAAAGGGTAGGGGCTCAAATACCCACTAACTTACCACTTTCGAGAATGGCCTAGGGCCTTGGCAGTAGTATTGCCGAGTCCCATGGTGAGGTCTCTGACTTCATTCTCACCAAAGAGTAGGGGCCATTGACTTACCATTTTTTAATTACCCTTTTAAAAAAAAAAAACAGAAAGAAGGAGAAAACAAATGTCATTGTGCTCAGACAGTAATAACCAATGTTTTTAAACTCAGGGGCCAAGGCCGAGTCAGAGTGGCTCAGCTGTGTCCTACAAGACCAAAAAATTGGTAAAATTTCAAAAAGAAAAAGGTCAAAATTTTGTTAAAAATAGTTTAAAATCAGAAAAAGTAAAATAAGCAATAGAAATCATCAGAAGTCTATAAAAGTCCAAATAAGTATATAAAAGATGGGTTATTGAAAAATTTAATGTATACATTGTACTATTTCAGAAAAAAAAAAAAATAGGGAAAGAATAAAAAGTAGGATCACATAATAGTTGAAGTTCCAAATCATCATAAAACCCATATAAATCTTATAAAAATTATAAATCATATATTGAAGATTTCTTACCAAAAATAATGAGTATTTAATAATCTTTAACAGGGCGAGTTGGCCCTGGAACTCAGGTCGAGTTAGTTGGACTCGGCCGAATCCCTGAACGCTAGTAATCACCAAGATAAAACGCTTAACGAAAAGCACTTGTGTATCAGTTTAAATCCGTTTATTTCAACATTCAACTCCATATAAATCAAAGCTATCGAATAAGAACAGTTATATCAATCAAATCGCATGGTTTACATCTGTTTTTTCAATCATTCAAAAACAGAGAGAGCTAAACAATAAGAGCAGTTCTCTTAATCAGAGTACGACGCACTCCACAACTCTGATAAACCTTATGCAAATACTAAATTCAGCATCAAGTATCAACAATTTGAACAATATTCCTCAATCTTAATAAACTAACAACTTTCATCTATTTCTCATGTCATGAAACTCCATAAATAACGTCAGAAAACAGAAAAAAAAATACTAAGAAAAGATTAAGGCGAAGTTTTGGAAAGCAGTAGACTCACTGGAAAATTGTGAGCAGAAATTTGAGATGGGGTAAAAACAGGGGCATGAAAAAGATTAAGGGTTAGGGTTTTGGAGAAGGGAAAGTGGTCCATGAGAGAGATGAAAAATAGTAACGCTTAGAGTGAGAGTGAGCGTGATGTTGGGCAATGGTGAGGAATTCAGGTTTATTGGATAACTGAGTATTTGTTCAAAAATGGTGGTCTTTTTGCTTGTTTCAAATTTTCCACCGAATTTAGGACAGTTGTTTTCGTCTTTCTTTTGCTTTTTAGCTTTGTTTTGCTTTTTAGTTAACTGGAGCAGGCATGCACACTGTTCATCCATCAATGATTAAGTTCAAGCGCGCAAAACACGCTCAATTATTAGGGCAAAACACACTCAGAATGAAGTCCAGCAAGTTCTTTATTACCTTCTGTTAATTTCCATTTTAATAGTAATTCGATATGATTAAATTAAGGAAAATGGTTTGATACGGCTGCAGCCATATCAAACTAAATAAAGCCTCCCCTTATAACTCATTGAAACTTGCAATTCAAGGATTAGAAAACTTTTACAGCTATCCTCTTAGCTTGAACCTTAGGGTGGTGAAAAATAAAAAAGATTTTAAGCTTTAAAAAAAGTGTATATTGTAACAAATTATTTAGACCGTTCTCAAAAAATAAGTGTTCAAGGATCCGTAAGATCTGTACCATTTTTTTAATTTTGAATTCCATTATCGGTGTTGAAAATTTATTTTATAGCCATCGTGGATATTTTCATTGCCGAAAGTGTTTATCGGACCCGAATCGGGTCGAACGCCTTGGGTCCCAGGTCGGTTCCAAGTCCATTGCCACCCCTATTGACAGTATGATAACAGAAAATAGTGACTCATCTATTTCTTAGGGAGTTTTAAGGGAAATTAATCAAATTATACCTATCATTTGAATTGTTTAACATTTTACTCGTAATTTTTGCTAGTTTCAAACTGCCCATCTTTCTTTATTCAAATTTTAGATAGCCCATCAAATTGAGTTTTGAAAATAGTCAAATATTAGGTACATTGTGATAAATTTCCCAATTGATAGTATCAACTTGCTGGAAACAAGAGGAGATAAATTTCCCAATTTGATAATATCAAATGCCCCATGAGAGTGCACCCTATGGGTTTGGTTTGGATGGCTCAAGCCACGAGATTATGTTTTCTTTTTAATTATCTCTCTCTTAAAGCCTTTGTGATTAGGTTCCTAATACATAACGTTAATGGTGCATTTGGTTTCTCGAGCTTTAGAAGTTCCAAGTTTTGTAGCATTTGATATAGCGGGAGGCCTATTTTTATTTTTGTTTTTGGTAATTCAATGGAGAAGACAGGCATCTATCCGGTTTTTTAGATAAATTAGGGAGTCACCTTTTTTTTTAAGATGTCGGCACCATTGAAAACCACGATATGATAATTAGTTATGGGGGTGCTACCACCACAACCCGGCCCCTTTCCCCCTTTCTTACGGAGGCCTATCTAGACCTTCCAATTTGTACAAAAAGCGGAAATTCTACTGTGATTGTTTCTATTATGATTTGAGAGTCACTTTCCATTTGTAAGGTGAAAGAATTCAGCTCGATTGCTAGGCAAATGCCTATATTCAATGCCTTGAATTCAACCGCATTATTTGAAGCTGATCCTTCAAGTCCAACGGTCCGTTACTGCTTCATGAGCCTTTTGCCAATTTTCTATTTCTTATTACTTGTCTTTTCAGTTTCAATAATTGCAAATGTAAAGAATTTCTCCCATGATGCTGTCCACAATGACCTCCTCCAAGCATAGCACATAAACAAGGTCTCCTTGGTTCCTTTTGTTTCTGTCTCTTTTGCTGGATGAAGTGCAAGAAAATGATAAAATTAGAAGAGGCAATGGACCCGAGACCCAAGGGATAGACCTGATCCAGGTTTGGGTATGGGTCCAAAAACTAGACTCGAGATAGACCTGATCCAGGTTTGAGTATGGGTCCAAAAATTAGACCCGGTGGATCGAGTCTGAGTTCAAATTTTGGATCTGAATACTATTTGGGTCCGGATCCAATTGGGTCCAGGTCCAGTAACATTTTTTCTTAATATAAAATATATATCTAAATACAATTAAATACATAGAAAATTTTTAATTTTTGGGTCGGGTCCCAGACCCACACTATATTTTCAAGTCCGGGTCGGGGTCCAGGTCCGGTTGGGTTCGGTTCCCATATCATTCTCATATCCGAGTCCAGGTCCGGGTTCAGGTTCAAGGTCGGTCGGACCTGACCCATTGCCACCCCTAGATAAAATTTGTAAAGAAACAGCGTATAGTTGTAAGAAGTATGATATCAATCAAAATTAGGATACGAAAATCCCCTAGCTGATGAAGAAAGTCACTATTTGTGCAGTTTCACCGGTAATATGGTCCACTAAACATTATTTGAACTGGCGTTTGGTGGCTCCAATCAATTATAGTTGCTCTGATTAATTATGTCGATCAATTATGACAGTAAGGTTGAGTAGTAGGTGCCTTGGATCCAATCAAGTACACCAATTTCTTGTGCTAATTGGGATCAGTCGTGTACTAGGTGCCTTTTATCCAATTAATTATGCCGATAGTTATGCTAGTTGGGATTATTAATGCTAGTAGAGTACCAGGTAGCTCTCATTAATTACACTAATTAGTTATGCTGGTTGGGAATAGTTATGCATGAGAAATTTTATTACCATGTTGAATGGTTTGAGTGCCTACTATGACATTAACAAGGATTTTGAGAAATTGCATTGCCATTAGTTTGTGATACATTTAATTAAGCAATTGGGCAAGCATTTCATGCGGGGAAATTGTTTCATACGGGTTGGACCGCATTTCTACATTTGTGGTCCAGAAAGTGTAAAACATCCATATTAAAGATGGATGTAAGTAGGTGTTCCATCTAAAAACAATGGAAACTAATGGTCCAAATGTTTTTTTACTAGAAATATTATTTTTAGTTTTTTAAATGTATTTATTTTTTCATATACATGATCTCCATGTTCGCGATTATATGTCCTTAAAAATTAATTCTTAAAACCCATCTCAAAATTAGATTTATTAAGAGGACCGCATTTCTACATATGCGGGCTTGGCCGCATAGAAACAAGGTCCTTGCATGTGAGAAGGGGAGTATTAGTTAAGGAAGAGTATTCCGTGAAACATTTGTATCTGATACATGTAGGTCATAATTAATATTGACCATTGGATGTGAGAACGAGCGGTTGAGTTTGTTCTATTGACCAAGTTTAAAGTTCAAAATAATTTTTTTCAAATTTATGACACAACTAAGTTATCAAATGTCACATTTAATAGTTAAGGCAATAATTAGGGGTGATTATAACCTCTTGTACTAAAAGATAAATGGTCTTACAGTTATAGAATCGAACCATGTCCCCATATTTAAAGGAGCATGAACTATTATGTGGATGGGTTATGATAAAAGGAAAAAAAAACACAATTTACTAATAAAGAAAACATACAATTCAATCACTTTTTGGTGATATGAATCATTTTTTTGTGAACCTTATTATGGACGGGCTACGATTTAAAATTCTCATTTATTAAACAAATAACTTCTCGTTGATGAATTGTTCGAGGAACGTTAAAACCGGCTAATTTCCAAAATATTAAGTTCCAAAAAAATCTGACGTTCAATTAAACAAGGGATATCGTAATTTCAAGAAATTCAACCGAATTAACAAACGTGTGATTTGCAAGTTCTAGTTCCTCAAAAACCCAATTCCTGCAACTCAAGTTTTATATACGTTAAGAGTTTTCCATATTTAAATGGGTCCAAGGACACCTTCTTTGTAATTAGTGATTTGACTCCATATTTATGTATTGAAGTGACCTAACCAAGCGGATTCTAATTAGTTGGGAAAAAGCTTCGATGATGATGAAGTGGGCTAACCAAATAGTTGATCATCAAAGCCATATAAACTCGAAAAACCCAAAAGTCACCACATGTTTCTTTCGTTTTAAATCACTTAAATGGTCAAACCACTTCATAAAATTATCATAGTGGTCCAATCATTACAACATTAAACATTACAATGGTATTGTTTAAGTTCCATTTACACGGGTACTTCCTCAAATAATATATTAAGAAATGATCAAATTACCCTTATTCATAATTAGGTATCATAAGCAAGAAGGGGGATTTTGGTAATTTGGTCCCTACTTAAATAGCCTGAGTCAAATTATATGAGTTCTGCCGACTGTTTAAGGTTAATAAAGAAAAAGAAAAAATTAAAAACCAAGCGTTTACAATTAGAGAAAAAAAGTGAGTTCTATATTGCTAACTTGACCACTAAGGGTAAAATTGTCATTTTACACAAATTTCTTAATTTTAGAGCAATGATAATAATGCCCCTCCTTGTTCGGACTTTGTATTAGAGTTTTTAATTAAAAAAAGAGTTCTATGTTGCTTTTCAAAAATCAGACATATGATGGTGGTGCCGAGCAATCATATGAATATTTTGGGCCGCATAGAGTTTGATTTTTTACCAAAAGTGGGTAAGATAATTTGAGAGATGGTAAGAGATGTTGTTCTATAGGAGATTTGGATGGAGCGTATTAAGAGAACTTTTAATAACACAACTTTGGATGTAGAAATGATTAAAACAAAGATATTGCAGTTGGTTTGGAGTTGGTTTTCAGTGACAAAGGAAGGGTTTTGAGTGTCCAAAGTGGATGTTGAGATTAATTTGCATAATTTGATTCTTTGGAATGTGGTGAAAGTAAGGCCAAAAGGTAGGTGGTGTCTACCTGTACTTGGGAGTGTCAAGTTAAACTTCGATGAGAGCTCATTAAGAAACCCATACCCATTTAGTATTGGAGGAATATTGCACGATGCAAATGGAGAGGTGATTTTTGTTTTGCTGGCTCATGTGGGGAGGTAATGGCTAATGAGGCGGAATTGACTGCTTTAGAGCATGGAATCCAAATTCTGAGTCAGAAAAATATCAGAGTGCCATGTATTATTGAAAGGGACTCATTGAGCATGATAAATTGGTACAATAAGATATCCAAGCCACCATGGAGTTTGAGGAAGAAATGGCTAAATATATTGGATATGTGGAAGGTGTTTCAAGTCTCTTTTCAACATATGTACAGGGAGGCTACTTACATTCATGATGGCTTGGCAAAACAAGGGCGGCCATGCATAATTTGATTATTTTGGAGTTTTCCCTTTTTGAAGGGTTGTAATTCTTTATTGATAAATAAAATTAAAGTAATATTGTCAAAAAAAAAAAAAAAAAGATAAAAATGTCATTTTCTTCAAGCCTCTTTGTTATTGTTCCAACTTAAATTGCAATACAAGAATTTCCGTTACGAAGAGAAAACTTTTGTATTCGTAAACCAGAATAAGTAGAGATGGAATCTAAGACTTCATCATAAGGCCCGGTAGTATTGCTGTCAAGACCCAGCCCATTCTCATGATGTACGTACTACTTTTGCTTGATGAGTTTCAAGAACCCTGCACAAGAGGCTTCATAATGAAAAAAAATATGTTTCGCACTCGGAAGCTTCAGCAAGCAGGCACACTCGCATCAGTTGCCCTACGCCACTTTGATTATGCGAAATTATTGAAATACACTTCTTGTTCGATAAAAGAGGATTTGATTATTTAGATATGTTTTTGAAGAGGTATATGAGCAAAATGAAACTGAAAATAAGTAACACCAAAATATATTGTGGGAGTAGAATATCCACTTACTCAATAGGGTAAACCCCACCCAAAATTGATTTTTGGATCCCAAATTTCGGGATGTAACTCCTGAACTTATAGACTAACCTTAATAAAAAAAGATTTCTTAATTGTATTCTCTATGCACTTAAAAAAATAATGTCACAATATAATTAGACATCATCTAATTTTAGATGGTGAGATCTAAGTGTTAAAAAACTCAAATTTCAATTTTTTTTAAGATAATCATCTAGTAATTATTAAGTGGTTCCCAAAATTTTAAATTGAAAAAAATCCCTCAGTAAGTCTTTTGACTGGGGAAGTAGCAGTACGCTACGATCATGAGGGAACATAGTAAATGTATCTCTGAACAACCATTCAACAGGGCTGGCAGCAGGCCGGGCTTGGGCCCAGCCAACCATAACCCTAGTCCCCATAGGGCTAGCTCAAGCCTGGTTTGATCTTGATCGACAAAGGCCTTGGCCCAAGCTCGGCCCTAGCCCTATCTAGGGCGGGCCAAATAAAATGAAAAAATAAAAAGAACAAACAGTGAAAAGAGGGTCGAGCCAGCCATTGCCCAAGCTTACCTCGGCCCTACCCGCCGACCATGGCTGTCCAACCCTAGCCTAGCCCTAAATGTGGCCCATGCACTAGTTTTATTGAGCTGAGCTTACCAGCCTGAGCCCACCCACAACGTCCCAAATTAATGTTAAATGAGATGTTGAAGGAAAAAGTTTATATAAAGTCGAGGCTTTAAACAATCAAATTAGAGCCCACCTCAAAAATTTCACTAGAAAGGGTTGTTTTGATGTTCAAATATCCTCAAACTTAGCATCTCAACATCAATATGCATGAATATGAGAAAAAAAAATCGATATCAAGTTTTTAAAATAGTGCATCGTGTAACACATTTTTGGATTGTCAATTTTTTAAGTTTTCATAGAACTGCTCGATCTCCACTATTTTTGAAGCTTTAAATTTTATAATTAAAGATACAAATATATTTTAAAACAATTACAAAGATTGTCATTATTGAAACCACATTTTTCGACACTATTTGAAGATGCGCTTTACTTTGATTGTTTAAAGGCTGGGTTCTATACAAACTGCACCCTTTTTTAAATATTGGGAAATTATCACAACTATATTTAATTTTCATTTATTTAGAAAAAAATCTTTAACTTTCATAAACCTAGTCACACCTTTTTTCTTCAAGTTTTGGCTTCTATTTTTTTTTTTTACCAAAATAACATTCACGGTAGTCGTACTACTGTGAAGCACTAAAAACTAAAATGTTATAAGGCATTCTAAGTACAGTAAAAAGTAATATTTTAAGTATAGTAAAAACTAACTCATGTAATACATTGAGGCGCTCGAAATGCTATAAACCCCTTCCTATTGTTTATATTTATCTCTTTCATCCTGTTTATATTTTTGTCTTTTATCTCTCTAATTCTTTTTATATTTATCTCTTTTTTTACCTTCTAATTCTTGTTAATATTTATCTCTTCTTTCTTTCTTTAATTCTTTTTTATATCTTCTTTCTCTCTCTAACTCTCTTTCTTTCTCCATGGAGATTTGTATAACAACCTGTATGTGCCTTGCCATCCCCCTATAAAAACTCTCTTCTACCCCATCCCTTATGAAAATTGGACGGAGTCATATTTGTATCATGTTTGTTAAGGTTGGAATCATGTTTGTTGAGTTGATGAAATAAATAGAAAGTGAAAGAAAGTTAGTGAGAGAAAAGACTTAGATAGAGAAAGAAGAGATAAAAAAAATTAGAAAGAGAAAAAAAAGATAAATATTAAAAAAAATTGGAGAGTATAAACATAAAAAAATTAGAAAGATAACAGGATATGAGAAAAAGGTAAAATGCCAAATAACATAAGCTAGTTGAGTTGATGAAGTAAGTAGAAAGAGAAAGATAGTGAGAGAAAAGAAATAATAAAATTAGAAGAGATAAATATTAACAAGAATTAGAGACAAATAAGAGATAAATACTAAAAAAAACTAGAAAGAAAGAAGAGATAAACATAAAAAAAATTAAAAAAATGAAAGATATAAATATGAAAAAAATATAGTTAATTTTTATCGTGCTTAAATGTCTTATAATATGAATAGTTTTTGCTGTACTTAAAATGCCATATAACATAGATTAACGGTTATGTCGGCTAAATAACGCTAAAAATTGAAGGAAGAAGAAAAAAGAAAGAGGAAATTTCAAGAAAAACAACAAACACTGAAATTTGGGCGGTTCCGGCACATTGCTGAAATCTTGAGCCGAAGTGGATTGAAATGGTAAGCACGTGACGTCGGAGTCTTCGAGAGAATCTTAAACCTAGCAGACTCTTTCCTTTACGTCTCTTTCTCTCTCTAACCTCTTTTCTTAGCATCTCCAATCATAGGAACTTTGCAGTCAAAATTTCCACTAATATCAATAGAAAATTCCCCAACAATTAAAGCCCTTTATTTTTTGGTCGAAACTACAGTATTCGAGCAATTGGATAGCGCCAAACTAGCATAAAAAAAGCACCAGAAAGTATATTTTATTCTTTGTTGGCTAAATTAACAGTTGACGTGATAATTTCAGTGAGACCCCACAACGCAGAGGGGCATCTCTCTAAAGTCTAAACGTAAGCAGTTTTTTTCCTTGAAAACGAGGACGAGGCGTAGCATCTATCCTTTGGCGAGTTCCCAAGGCCCCAAGGTATGTTCCTCTGTTCTTTACTTTTGATATTCAATCAGAATTTATGTTCTCTTTATTAGATTCGCATATGTTTTCGAGATTGGGTTGTTTGGTTTTGAGTCTTTGTCACCTCATTTTGATTGATACTGGCAAGTTGTACTCTACGGTTCAGTCTTCTTCTATTTTTTTTTTAGATTTCATGATGGTTATGATTTATTCATTGATGGGTTTTTTCTCAAAATTTCAATGAATTTTTACGCTTTAGGTCTTGTTTCAGTGGCTTTTAGTAGATTTTATTGGCGTTGTTATGAATTTTGAAATGGGTTCTGGGGGCTTCATGTTTTTGGGAGTTGCTTGGTGACTTAATTCAGAACATTCTCGTTTTTCCTGGTTTTTGTGAGAATTGGGGCATATTGTTTTGATGATTTGGGCTTTTCTCTATCGTGTTCATTTACTACTGCAGTTTTCCTTCTTCATTTGAGATTAAATTACTCTCTTTCTAATAATGGAAATTAGGACTTGCACTTTCGTTTGGTTTTCTTGATTTAGTGCCTTTGGAATCAAATGGATTAAGTTTTCAGACTAAATTATTATTGGTCCGTCTTAGTTTTGAGCTTTGATGCATTTTTGGACTGAATTAGAAGGATTCTGATGTGGTTTCCATTGCGTTCTTGTAATTTTCATTTGGTTTTATACAGGGAATGCATCTTTTGATATAGATTGCGAATTCCAAGCTCATCAATTTATTCTAAATGGGATCAGAAGGACCACCAGTTGTGACCATCCATGTGACTGGGTTCAAGAAATTTCATGGGGTTGCCGAGAACCCAACTGAAACTATAGTCAGTAATTTGAAAGGTTTTGTAGCAAAAAAGGGTTTGCCCAGTGGTGTGGTTCTTGGCACTTGCAGTATACTTGAGACTGCTGGTCAAGGTGCTCTTGATGATCTCTATCGGGTCTTGGAGTCAGCCGTAGAAGGGCTTGTGACCGAATCTTCACCTGGAGCACGAATTATATGGGTCAGTTTCTTTTCTTTGATTGATTATGTGGGTCAATTATGATCTGAGTTTTTATCGATTGCTGTATTATTATCATGTTTTTGGTGAGTAGTCCATGTATTTATTTAGCGTCAATGATTAAGGATTTTCTTTCTTTTTGGTTGCATTTTGATGTGAGCATTTGGGATTTGGTACTCCTTGAGATCGATTGCCAAAAAATTGGGTAAACAATGTGGTAGAAACGATTTATTTGATTATTTATTTTCTTAAATTAAAATTTTGGGTTTGCAAATTGAAAATTGAATTGGATGCCTATTATTCACGATAGCGATCTTAAAGCAAAAAGTGATGAACTTGGTTTGAAATTGCTAGAATTGTTGGGTAAAGGATAGATAGATTGAATGTTTTTCTTAAGAGTGGTAACTTGTTACCTGCTTGGGGTAGAAATTCATTATCATTATCATTATCATCCGAGCCAGATGTGAACTATTTGGGTTCGGCTAAACAAATCATGTGCCAACCTTCCGTTCTATCAGTGGCTATAATGTCAATCAGACCATAAGTCATCATGTCTCTTTCTCACTTTTTCCATTCATGCCCTTTGGGGTCTTCCCTTTGCCCTTTTAGAGCCTTCCACTTGAACTAAATCACCCCTCCTAACCAATATTGTTTTAGGTCGCTGTTGCACATGACCAGACTTCTGAAGTGTATTCCCTAATTTTATTGCCAATTGAAACTGCCCCTAAGTTGTCTCGAATGTATTTATCCTGGATTCTATCTTTCCTTGTCATGCTGCTCATCCATCTCAACATTCTTATCTCAACCCGATTCGTTCTATGGATATGTTTTTTCTTGACCGCCCAACATATCGTTCCATAAAGCATGGTTGGTCTTACAACCATCCTATAGAACTTCTTCTTCAGTTTCATTGGGAAGATCACATAAGGCTCCATAAACACATCTCCACTTCGTCTACCCAACTCTAATTCTATGAGCAACATCTTTCTCAATCTCGCCTTTCTCATAGATTATTGATCATATAAAAAATAATCTCTTTTAGATACTTCTTGACCATCGATCTTTACTATTTCCTTGTTTTTGGGCTTGTTTGGGGCAGAATTACAAAGTACTTATTGTTGATGGCATGAAGAAGGTACATGCTATTTGATAGACTATGCTGAATCTATTCTTCATGTTGCTAGATATTCTTATGCAATTGATGGCTCTTTGGCAACTTGGGTTAATTTCTAGAGTTGAATTGCTGTTCTGCATATCTGCTAGAGTAAACTTGATCATTCTGATTACAAGAATTGAAATCACAGTTTTGTCATAAAAGCAAATCACGGACCGACTTTTGTTTTCTCGTCATCTTTTTGTGAAGGCAGTGCATATTATATGGTCCACTGGACTTTGGGAAAGCATGAGTTACTAAGGCCATGATCATGGCATGATGGTCAGTGATGAAGAGAAGGTGGGACCCACCACTTGGTCATTGCCTGCTTGTGTGTGGTCCAATGAACGAGGATTTTCTGAAGCCCATTGGACTATAATCAACTTCCACTTTTACGAAAACTATTGTGTGGCTACTGCATTATATGATTCAGAATGCTAAAGTTGCTTGGAATTGCTTTGAAGGCATTCTATATCACTCCTTTATCTTCTTGTTGGAATGGCAGGAAAATGTTTGAAGAATTCTACCCTGGAGTTTTATGAAATTTTAGTTGCTCACCAACTTGTTAGTTTTCAGTATGATGATTGTGACTCCCCAGTGATCACTTTCTGCCAGAACTATGTGAAGTATCGGTCTGAAAAGAACTTAAATTTTTACAATGTCATTGAATAAGGAAATTTTTACAATGTCATTGAATAAGACACTTGTTTGAGGTTGTAAAATCTGTGGAGTCTGTCTTTATTTTCTAAAAAATTATAAAGTTTTTGACTTTCTAAAAAAATTCTTAAGTTTTTAACTTTCTGTGGACATAAACTTGGTTTTCTTTGGTTTGCAGTATGCACAATGGATTTGCAGTTTTTGCTCTTTTTGAAGAACTATAGTCATCGTTTTTGAGATTATTTATTTCTAGCACAAAATTTTGTACTCCTAGACAATATTGTATGTCTCCCATGTGTAAGCTTAGTTGAGTGTGATCATCACCATATACTGGAGGCCACTTATTCTGCATACATTCATGCATGCCTTAGGGTTATCTGGCTAAGCTTCCCCTGTGCTCATAGCTTATAAGCTTTATCTCTCTTTGCTCTAAATGTTGTGTTTTGCCTATCAATCTCCATCAACTCTAATCTCTAGTTCTTACTTCAGAGTCATGTTTGCTTTTTTTGTTGTCTGTGTCTGTTGTTAGTTCCAAATTATCAAAATATGATTTTCAATTGGCAACACTGTCACAATAATCTAGTTAGTGAATGCATTTGTCTTATGTTTTACATGTATCAAAGGGATTATCGATCTTTTGACCTTTTTATAAAATACTTATTTCATTTGTCTCCTTCACACATCGCCTTGCTGCAAAAGTGCAACGCCTCTGCTTCTTTCCATCCAGTCTTTTTTGTCATTTTGTCCATTGCCCCACTTGATATCATCCAACAATTTTCAACACTGTGTCCATGTTACAGATTCTTGAGGCTAACAGCCCAAGCCTGCCTCCAATTACATATTTGTTTATTCTAGTTCTTCATCGGTACAAGTGGCTAATTGAGCCCATTCAAGCGATTACACTAGCTCCATAATTTCTTTTGTGATATGCACAAGTCAAAAAGACATCTTTTCATTTTGAGAGCTTCCTTTTTCTATTCATTGCTCTTTCCTTGAAGATTTTCATTCCCATGTTGAACCTTTCTCATGTTTTGGGCTTTCTTCCAATACCTGTCAGCAACAGGTAATGGAATATGTCGTGTCCTCATTGAGAACCATGTTCAAGGACTTAGTTTATCACATTGTTTATGATGTGTAATGTGGTTTGTAATAAGTTTTGTCAGGCTGCTTGTATTGATGCTTATCTGGTGACTATGGGCTTTTTCATCTTTCTTGTTACATTGCTCATATCATGGAAGAGTATGGCTAAAGAAATTGTCGCATATCATGGAAGAATATGACTAAAGAAATAGTCTCTGAGTCTAGTACTGAAGCCCAGTATGAATCTGTAAGACACGATTTTAGCAAGATTTTGTGGCTTTAAGCACAAGTTAAAGCTCCTGGAGTTTGATCAATGGCACTTATACCTGTTCATTACGGGTATGCCATCACCATTCAATTTGCTTAAAATGAAATTTCAGAACAGCTGAAGCTCATGAGGGTTGGTTGTCACAAAGAACTGTTTCTTGTTGGTGCCTAAGTGTTTCTTTTTGGTGCTTATCTGCTCCACATAGATTTATTTCTGAGTATCTTTTCAGGTCCATTACTAAATATTTGTATAGAGTTCGGTATAGCTTCTTGAATGGCACTTCTTCTTTATGACCTCTATTGTTCAGGTTTCGTTTTAGGAGCCATGCTAGGGGGGCACATAGTGGTTGGTTGTCACATAGTGGCTTACGTGCGTAGCACATAGAAATGAAATAGGCATTGACCTAAATATTATGGCAAATTTGCCATAGTTACATAGCATGCAATGTAATTGTACTTTGATATGCTATAAGTGTTCACTCAACTTATCACATCTTCTTACAATGGGAGATTGTCAGATTGCATAGATATGCAATGAGAATTGAGGAATTAAAAAGATTTCAAATAACAAAAGTAAGCAAACACAACTGAAAAAAAGGAAGAAAAAAAATGTTATAGAAATAATCAACATAGCACAGTTTCTTTGTTGTAATTAACGTTATCATGCAGCGAGCAAGCCCGGGTAGGCTCTTACTACACCAGTGGTGGGCCGCATTTAATTAAAAACTAATGTAATTGCCATATTTGGACTCTCATGCCTTGCTTTTCATGGCCCCCCACTCTCTGGTTGTATTATTCGTTAACACCCACCCTTCTTTTCCCTCCCCTCCCCTCGCCCTATTCTTCTTATTCTCCCCATTGTATTATGTGGCATGTCATTACTCTCTTCTCTGCAACGAAAAATGCATTCTCTGAATCCAAGATCAGAGGGGATGTTGCTGCTGCTGCCTCTCTCATCCTTGCCCTGATTCTCCACTGTAAATAAGGACCCAAATTGGACTCCTTTATTTTTGGTCGTACCATTTGTCTCTCATCTCTTGTCCCCAACTCATCTCTTTCCCCTTCTCTCTCTGATCCTCCCCTACCCTCTAGCACCTCTTCCACTCTTGCTAGACCACAGTCTCTCTCTTGAAATAAGCAATGACATCTCTCTCTCTCTCTCATCCCTCTACTGCAACATCCTCTCTCTCACCTCACCCTACTACAAAACTCTCTCTCTTAAGCTCACCCATCCCAAAGTTCACTCAATCTATTACTTGGAAAGCAGGTGCACTCATCCCCTCTCACCCTTACTCAATACCTCTTTACAACCATTCGCAATTCGAGAAAACTTGTTAGAACCTTCAAAATTGGTCTTGAAGTTGCAGGTCCGTTTGTTTGATAGACTTTGTTTTGGCTGGAATCTCTAGATGGTCCATTGAAGTTTTAGGGGTTTCTCTTTGTGAGTCAAATGTTTTGTTGGAATTTTATTTTATTTTTTTTACTGATATTTGGGGCACATTCTTCAAATGGGATGTTGTTGATATGGGTAATTTTTTTTTAAAACTGGAATCTTCATATAAGGAGTTCTAGTTGCAGGGCTTTTCATTTTGTGGCTTATATTTTTCATCAGAAATTCCTGAAAAATTTTCAAGAGGGTATTGAAATTAGAGAATGTCCCATTTTTTAATCAAATTTCTGGCCATGAGGAAAATATGGGTTCTCAGGAAACTGTATCTTTAGATAAACCATGAGCATTTTGGTGGTTTTTGCTTCGAGAGAATGGCTTTCAGGCTACAGTTTTCAGGTGGAAATTGGTGGTCCCAAATCTCTCTCTCTCTAAAGAGCCCCAAGAACCATAACAAGGTTTGAAAAAGAGCATAAGACATACACACAGAGAAGGAGAGGGATAGAGGTGTACTTTTTATGTGTACTTTTTATTACTTCACTTTTTCTCTTCAATGATATGGTCTTGTTAGGCTTTCAGAGAGTGTTAGAGGAAGAGTGAGTGTTAGAGGAAGAGTGAGTATGATGGAAATTATATTTAGTAGAGAAAGAGAGAGATGTTAGGAAGAAATGGTGTAAAAAGAGATGTTGGTGAGGATAGTAATGAGAGAATTAGCGAGAGAATGAGGAAAGAGAAAATGAAGGAGAGAAAACAATGTCGATATTCTATTTATAGTGTTTGGTAGTGGTAGTTATGGGTCGTTCGAATTTTGAACATCATTCCTTAGACACACACCTTTTCATCTAGGAGTGTCTTTTTGGCAGTTTGGATTTTAAAAACTCATAGTAACGGGATGCACCTTTTCAGAAGGCGTCTTTATGTGTATCTAGAGAGAGATTTTTTAGGAAACCAATCTCTCTCACGTATTTCTTTCTATGTCTTCTTTTTCATTTACTTTCCTACTTTTTCTCCCTGGAAATATCTCCCATTTATCTTTTTATGAGTTTTTTAAAACCTAAACTGCCAAAAAGACACCCCTAGATGAAAATGTGCGTATCTAAAGAACGATGTTCAAAATTCGAACACCCCCCAACTACTACTACTAAATGCTACAAGTAAAATATCGACATTGTTTTCTCTCCTTTATTTTCTCTTTCCTCCTTCTCTCTACTCTCACTAAATCTCTCATTACTATCCTTACCTTACCAACATCTCTTTTTACACCATTTTTTCCCAACATCTCTCTCTTTCTCTACTAATTACAATTTTCATCATGACTCACTCTTCTTCTCACACGCTCTGAAAGCCTAACGATACCATATCGTTGAAGAGAAAAAGTGAAGAATAAAAGGTACGCCTTTATCCCTCTCCTTCTCTGTCTGTATGTCGCTCTTTTTTTAACCCTTGGTTATGGGCGGGAAATTCTTGGGGCTCTTTAGAGAGAGAAAGAGTTGGGACCACCAATTTCCACCCCGAAACTGTAGCTTGAAAGCCACCCTCTCGGTCTGAAACCCACCCAAATGCTTCTAGTTTATCTAAAGATGCAGTTTCTTGAGAACCCATATTTTCGTCATGGCTAGAAATTTGACCCATAAAATGAGACCTTCTCTAATTTGAATACCCTCTTTAAAAATTTTGCTGGAATTTCTGATGAAAAATTTGAGCCACAAAATGAAAAGCCCTACAACTAGAACTCCTTATTTGAAGATTCCAGTTTTTTTAAAAAAAATTACCCATATCAACAACAACTCATTTGAAGAATGTGCCCAAATATTATTACAAAAATAAAATAAAATTTCAGCAAAACATTTGACCCACAAGAGAAACCACTGCAACTTCAATGGCCCATCTCAAGATTCCAGCCAAAAGCAAAGTCTGTCGAAAAAACGGACCTGCAACTTCAAGACCAATTTTGAAGGTTCTAATAAGTTTTCTCAAATAGCAAATGGTTTATGAGAGATATTGAGCAGGTGTGAGAGGGGTTGAGCGCACCTGCTTTTAGAACAGCCGAAGCTCTCGTGGTTTGGTTGTCAAAAATAATTGTTTTCTGTTGATGCTTATCTGCTCCACATACATTTATTTCTGAGTAGCTTTTCAGGTCCTTTACTAAACATTTATCTAGAGTTCAGTATAGTTTCTTGAATGACACTTCTTCTTTATGACCTCTATTGTTCAGGTTTCGGTTTAGGGGCCACGCTATGGGGGCATCTCTTCCACAAAAATCTACTTCAGAGCCTGTTGAGCTCTTTACTGAGGCATTTACTAGTGATTTGTTTTCCTCTCCAACCCCTAAAAACAAAACACATTGGCAACTGATTTGGCATGAGTTCTTAGTTTTCCGTCTCTTCTATCTTAATTTTTATCATATAACTTTACTTTAAACAGCTGCATTTGCTGGGTAGGGTGGTGGGGGATCAGGGGCATTGCTATATCTCTGTATCTATAATAATTGTTTAAATTCAGTTTGATCTGTTGTCAATTACATTTTTCTTCTCTTTTTTAAATGCATCCATAAAGGTACTGTGGTCATTTACTTCCCACTAACTTGTATATAAGAGATTTTGACGCTTATTATCATACAATGGAATGATTACCTACGCCACACAAGGCTTCTCCTATTTGCAAGTATAACTCAAGGCTGCTGGTACATATTTGGGAGGTAGTTATTCTTCTTATTTAGTGGTTTTTTTTCTTTCATTTCCGCTCAACTGTTTATTTGTTCTGGGTTTGCCAACCTTGATTGACTAGTGAAAAGAGAGTTCAATTGCTCGATATCTGAGTATTTTTCTGTAATGTTTTTTTTTTTTTTCTATAATGGTATGGCTTTTAGTTGCATTAGATTGTGGGAATCAAGGGGTGCGTCCCTCTCTTCCTAGTTCCAAAAAATCAGGTAGTTTTGTTTCTCATTAACTGAAGGCGATTTGTCTTAACATTCCTTTCACTGTGAACTTTTTTACTTTTCATGTTTCATGATGTGATCTCCTGTCTATTATTTAGTGGCTTGCCATCATTTTGTTGTTAGAATTTTCATCATTTTTTGCTTCAGCTTCATTTTGGAGTCAATAGTGGAGCTACAAAATTTGCAATAGAGAAGCAAGCAGTAAATGAAGCTACTTTCCGCTGTCCTGATCAGTTAGGATGGAAGCCTCAGGTTTTTGGTCTCATTTGTTATATTGTGTGTTTTCCTACAAGCTATGCTTGAGTAATCCAATTTAAAAAATATTAGAGATTTCACACTGTGTTGAACTTCAAAATCTGCTTTCTGCCAGAAACTCCCAATAATCACTGCCGATGGAGGCCTTTCACGAGCAAGGGAGGTAATCTCTTCCCCTCTCTCTCTCTCTTTCTCTCTCTCTCTCTCTCTCTCTCTCTACTACTCTATACTACTATTATTATTATTATTATTAGTTAGTTAGTTAGTTAGTTAGTTAGTTTAGTTAGTTTAGTTAGTTACGTTAGTTAGTTACG